AATGCTAATACGGGGGTCAGTAGGTGTTCATTAGAATTGAAGTCATACCATATGTGCTACCGGTAATATTTTCTACGGTTAGTGAGATGAGCATGTTAACAAGTCTCTTGAAGCACACAAAATACTAGAATTTAAGTTTTTGTTATCAATGTTTGTGCTTTTATTGCATGATAGGCTTTTATTGCTTTTATTGCAAATTTTAGAAAACTATTTAATCAACAATTCACATGTATTGTACATTGCACATAGAGTGACCAGATCCAAAAACTTGAATACTTGAAAGATAACTCAAAAATACTTGAAAATACTTGATATTAAATTTTATTCAAGTTTTAACGGTAAATATTTTCATTTAGCGGTAAATTAACAAAATTAAGATAACTTACAATTTTATAATGCATTTATAACCAATATTTGAATTAATGTAATTATAGTTATTTTTTGAATCCATTTGTTATTAATATATAGTATAATTAGATCAATTGATCGAAAGAGTGCTTATTGAACTAGTTACAATTATGAAATATTTTTTGTGACTCATATAATACTTGACAATAATTCCCTGATTATTATATGAAATAAAATTAATATTCTAAAATACTATACTAATGAAACTAAAATAAGTATATTTTGCTCATTTGCTTATAAGACAATTAAATTATAATCATACTTACTTATAATCATATTTTTACTTTGTTAGTAAAAATAAATATGTAATATTGTACACATTAAATTTTAGTTTTATATGGAAATTGATATAAATTTTTGTTAGATAGTTATATTTTGAAAATATTATTTAATATTTAATTAAGTCAAGTATTTATGTTATATTAAATGATATATTTTATTTTAAAAATAATTTTATGAAAATTTAACTTTAATTATGGTAGATTTCCAATATTTGACATTATAATGTCAAGTATTACCCCTTGCCTTGATACTTGACAAGACCCTCAAATACTTGAATGTCAAGGTGAAATACTTGACAATGGGCAGTCTAATTGCACATGAAATTATTTTGTAATTTACATTTTAAAATGAAATTATATCATGCATTATAATATGCAATAAATGGGTAGGGTGATTTATGCATTTAATATGCATAACAAATATACTGTACAGTACTTAACACGTATGATGTTATGAATTGCTAACTTCATGAATAAATAACAGTGAACCACTCAAAGTCTAGTTTAATTACATAAGGGAAAGTATAGTGCACAATATCAAATTATGCACTCAAATTTTAGTGAATATGTCACCAAATTTGTCATAAATCTCACACAGATATGTACAGTACATGTATACCAAAGCATTAATGCAATTATGCAATGGCAATTGAAATACGATTGATATATTTCCGATGTGAATAATCCACTATGCTCGTTCGTTGCTTGGTATTTTACCAAATTGTGTGCAATGCCCAGACACATTCATCAATTTGCATAATTTAATTTTAAGGCTAAAAGTATATAAATCGGGGTATAATACAGGGTCTGTATCTAATTCATTATAATTAGCTTGTTATTAGTTATTAACTACTTTGTCAGCTTTGTGAAACAAATTATATTAATAATATTTGTGATTTATTTATTATTTCTATTTGTTAGCTAGGAAATTTAGTAATTCCTTAAGTGAACATGAATTTATATAATTTGTTACTGAATTATAGTTGTGTCGAGATTGTGACACTAATTTTGTTGTTCGTTATAAGTTTCTTTTTAATTGAAAATATATTCAACACTATTAGGCAGCGAATGAAACTTCCCGCCGGACCGGTAGGCCTACCAGTGGTCGGGTATATGCCATTCCTCGGCAAACACCCCCACAAAGACATCGCCAAATTGCGGGACAAATACGGATCAGTATTCACGTGAGTCTATGAATAGTGTGTTTAAAAACTTGTGACCTTTTCTAATACTTTATAATTTATGAAAACTATTCAATAGTATATTTGTTATACTATTAATACTATTAATTTGTTTTTCAATTATATTTTACTCGAGTTTATATTTACTTTTAAGTTTTAATTTATTTTAAGATTGCAATTAGGAGTGAATTATGTGGTAATACTCGACGACTGGGAGGCCGTGAAGGAGGCCTTACATAAGGACACGTTTTTAGGCAAACCTACGAGTAGTCCGTTTACTGTCGTCAACACCGATAATGATTACGCAAAGAGTATATATTATAACAAAATTAATTTATAACTCATTTTGATTGACAACTCGATTGAAACTTTCATTTGAAGGCATAGTCGATGACAGCGGCCACTCATGGAGTGAGGACCGAAAGTTGGCGACACAAGTGCTCCGGGAGTTAGGCTTCGGGAAGACCATTATGGAGGTGAAGATCACCGATGAGATCCACTATCTTATCAAACGTATTGACGAGACCGATGGCGAACCCATGAATATACACGAAGTACTGGTGCCGAGCGTATCCAACATTATTATGCAACTGGTGTTTGGCCACCGATACGAGTATAATGAGCCCACGCGACAAAACTTGGACCAAACCCTGGACCAAATGCCACACGTGTTCAATAGGTTTGGGTTTTTAGCGACGGCACCGGTATGGTTGGCCAGGATAGCCTTCAAAATGGGTTTATATGGCGATCATAAGAAGTTTGATTACTCGTATCAGTTGTTTGAGTATGAATTGTGTTTATAATACAGT